TGATGTTGATGCTGCTGATGATGCTGATGATGATGATGGTGATGATGATGATGCTGATGATGATAATGATGATGCTGATGCTGATGCTGACGCTGATGTGATGATGATGGATAATGATGATGAGGAGGATGAGACGGATGATGATTATGGTGTGAATGATGCTCATGATGATGACGATCGCTGATGATGATGGAGATGATGATGACGATGAGGATGATGATGATTATGATGATGATGATGATTCTGACGATGATGACTTTCATGATCATGATGATGCTGCTGATGATGCTAATGATGACGATGATGATGATGATGGTGATGATGATGATGATGATTATGATGGTGGTGGTGGTGATTGTGGTGGTGGTGATGGTGATGATGATGATGAGGATGATGATGCTGCTGATGATGATGATGATGCTGCTGATGATGCTGATGATGTGCTGATGATGATGATGCTGATGATGATGATGATGGTGATGATGATGATGATGATGATGATGATGATGATGATGATGATGATGATGATGATGATGATGATGATGATGATGATGATGATGATGATGATAATGGCACCCTGAACTGCAGCGAGCATGGCACGACAAGGTGCCTCCAAGCATGTCACGCCAACGCTGCTCATTCCTCCGCGGCCGCAGAGCACGCTGCGAGGCGGAGTCCGGGCAGTAAGCAGGGGACGCAGGCCACCCTGCACACAACACTGCATCGCTCCTCGAGGCCGCCAGAAGAACCTTGGCGCCCTGCACCTGCACGCACGACAGGACGGACGAGGAGACACAGCGGATGTCATTCCGCACAGGTTGAGGCTTCGCGTGTCGGCCCGAGTACTGCAGGTTGGCCGTTGCGTGCTTTCGCGTGACTCCGGGCTTGACTAGTGCATTTTGTCAGTGGTCTGAAGTTGTTCGCAGTTGTCGCGTGAATGAAGCATCATGCGAGGGGAATTGGCTATCCCAGAGACGAGCCCACCAGCGCGCCCTCCCAGACACGTTGTTCTCGGTACCTTGCGGGGGGCAGGGGAGCACCGAGCCCGCTTTTCGGTCCCCGAGGAGCAGGGGGATGCCCCCTTCGCCGCGGCTGCCACCGCAGCACCGTGCCCCCCTCCCCAGGACGCGCCGCGTGCACCAAGAGACTGCTCGAGGCATCAGCCTGCCTCGGCGCCCGCTTCGGGACGCCCGTCGAGGCCGCCGTCCAGCGAAGCGGGCGGGCCGGAGGCTGCCGGCAGAGCTGGGCGCCCAGAGGAGGGCCGAGGAGGTGGCGGAGGCGCGGCTGCTCCAAGCAGCAGGCGCCCTGTCCCGTCCCAACCCTTCGACGATCCCCATGACCCGCTTCCTCTCCCACAGGCGGCTGCGCAGCGGGCTGCGCCGCCTGGCTGGACGCCCTCTTCGGGATGCCGGTCGAGGGCGCTGTCCAGCGCCTCTGCACGCGCCGAAGGAGGCCAGGAGCGCGGGGCAGCCACAGCTCAGAATTCGACGCGACATCCACTAGCTCGTCGGCTCATGCATACGCCGTCCGGGCAGCGGGGGGTTAGGAGGCCCTTGCGCATCTTTGGCAAGATTCTGTGTATTGCATCGCAGCCTGGCAAGCGACTACCACGATATTTCTGCGATGCCCTCTGAGGCTGTTTCTCTTGCTCACGTGCGTTTCTGCACTCAGCTGACCTCCTCTTCTTCGGCCATCGTGCTCCAGAAGTCCGCGGGGGCCCGCATGTCCTGCGCCGTCCACGAGGCTCAGTGCTGGCCGCCGCCGCATCGCGGCCGAAGACCGAGGAGACGTCAGCGCTGGGCTGCAACATGCAGCAGTCCTCCTCAGCCTGCTCTTCGTCAGGGTCGGTCGCAGAGTCTGCAAGCCAAGGAACACCACGGACATCTCGAACTCCACCCTTACTCTGGAGACTGCGGGGCGGCTTCAGCAGCATCACCAGGCTGGGCACCAGGAGCACCACCGTGACGCTCCTGGCCAACGACATGGGATGATGCGCCAGCGGGGGGCCCGCGGCGGGACCCCCCCGCACTGCGGCGCCCCGCGCCCAGCAGCCAACAGGCCCCGGAGCGCCGACCGTGCTCGGCGGGTCCACGAGCACGGCACCGGAGGAGATACTCGCCAGGCCACCTGGCGCGGAGGTCGGCACGCTGGCGCCCGAGCGCGGATCACCCGCCTCCCCAGGAGCAGCCCGTCTGCAGCTGCCGTTGCAGCACGCTGCGCGCGGCGGCTCGCCGAGGTCTCACACGCAGGGCGACTCAACGGCTCCGCCCGCCTGCTGTCGGGCTCCCCACGGGGCGCTGCCCAAGCCGCACCCACCCAGATGCGGAGAATGGAACAGCGTCTCTGGCCATCCACGACTATCCAGACATACGGCCTGCGGGTCTTGCTTGGGGCCTCCTGAGGAGGGCGGCCAGGACCAGCGCCAGAGCTCGAGGAGGAGGAGGAGGAGGAGGAGGAGGAGGAGGAGGAGGAGGAGGAGAAGGAGGGGTGGGAGGAGGAGGAGGACGGACGCCGCCGCCGCGCCGCCGCCGCCGCCGCCGCCGCCGCCGCCGCCGCCGCCGCCGACGACGACGACGACGACGACGACGACGACGACGACGACGACGACGAGGGGGGCCCTCCGCAGGGCGCGGCGCTGGTCGCTGGCGGACCCGCTGGAGAGGGGGGCGGTGCAGGACAGGCCCCTCCCCGAATGTTTTCTAGTGATTTCGGCATGCGCGCGCGACGACGCGCGTGTGTGCACTTCGCCCCTTTTTTGCAAGGGATCCTTGCGACAGCGCGCGCGCAGGGGTGTTCGAGCGATTTCGGCATGCGCGCGCGAGGCACGTTTGTTGGCATTGTATGAGAATCTTGAAAATTCGATGGCATTCGTAAGAATTCGCAACAGCGTGAGCGCAATTTGTCATTTTGTTTTGAAAATCTTGGTGGCGAAACCGTTGTTGTTTTACATGTTTTCGGAGATCTCGATTTTGAACCCCCTACGAAACTCACGGTTTTTGGAGGATTTCGGCATGCGCGCGCGACGACGCGCGCGCGTGCACTTCGTCCCATTTGTTGCAAGGGGTTTTTGAGAACGGATGGTTTTTGATAAACGAGTGTGCTCGCGTACACATTGTTCGTTTTTAATTATTCCAAAGTTCTTTGATCTTCCGGGGGCCAAGATCCTTTCATTTCCAATTGTTCTATATTGGGCCTCTTCCTGGCCGCTGGGGGGCCAGGAACAGTTAGAAACGAACACAATTAGAAGTGAGTGCGATTAGAAATGAACGACGTGTGGCACCTTCTCCAGGGGACGAGAGGGGGGGGGCGATCAGGCTCTGGCCGGGATCTCGCTCGAGCTCGGCGGACCCAGTCCCCCCCGCCGATCGGCGGGCGGGGGCCCGCTCGGCGAGCTCCGGCCGAGGGCCTCGGGCCTCCCTCGTCTTCCTCGACCTCCTCGGCGGCTCCTCCTGCTGCGAGTGCGAACTCCGCTGCCGCTCGTGCTAGGCCTGTGGAGGACGATCAATGGAGAGGAAGCATGCTGCCAAACAATTCCCAGATGTCTAGAACATGGGTTACACCATGTTTTGAACATGCAGAAATCATGTTTTCAACATTTCCAGGACATTTTTCCGACATTTCAAACACATTTCAAATTCAATTATAGGACTGTTAGGGTGTCCATTGTCGTGGCATCCACAATGCTAGGCCCCGCTCGCCCGACTTGCCTCCGAGGCTGGTCCGAGCCCGGCTTTCTGCCCACCCTCTTGGCGACGGAGGGGGTCGGGTTAGCTGGGCGCCCGCCGACGACGGCTTCAGGGGCAGTGGCTCCAGCCAGAGGTGTAGAGAGATCGTGGCACGCATTCGGTGGAGTTCGTGCATCAGCAGAGCCGTGTCCCTCTTGCACACGCCTCTCGACAATAAAGACTCCATGACCAAGTGGTGCGGCATGGAATCGAAAGCCGTCGCGATGTCTCAGGAGGGAAAAACACACACAGACACAGTTAATCGTCGATTCCCGGGAAGATGTGCGAAACTATGGGAAGTGGGGGGAAGACGAAAGCCCAGAAAATATAGGAAAATATGGGCAATCCTGTTATTTGTGTCTTATTTATTTGTGTGTCCCAGGGCCCCTTCAATGTCCTCGATCCCTTCCTCGATCCCAGCTCTGGCTTGGGGGGGTGCCTCCCGAGTTCCGCCGTCTCTGGGGGCCCAGGATTAAGTCGGGCCTGTCCCTCTACAGGAGGAAGGTTCAAGAACAGTCAAAAGATAGTCTGGGGACGATTTCCTGACTACTTTTGACCATTTGGGGGTATTTTGTTTTGGTTCTTAATTTTTTTGCCAAAAATCCCCCTGTAGTGGGACAGGCCCGACCTAAGCCGGGGAGCGGGTCGGTGCTCGCCCGGCTCTCGGCCCCGGAGCCGTCCTGCCCGAGGCGGGGGACGTGTTTTGTGTTTCTCGCGCGGAGCAGTCTCGGCTGGCACTGTGGAGGACGATCAATGTCGGGGGCGGCAAAGAGGGGGGTGATGACTAGGGGGGGTGGATATCATGGCGTGGGCCATGATATTTCCCCAGATTTTATGGCGCCTCTTCTTATTTCATTACGTCCCTGCCCCCCCCCGCTGGGCCGCGCACATGCCGCCGGTCATGATTTGCACCCCCCCTCTTGGACACCCCCCTCCTGGCCGCTCCCGACAATGGAGAGGAAGCGTGTTGCAAAATCATTTCCAGATGTCTAAAACATGTAAAGCAACATGCTTGAAGCACGTAAAACGCATACTTTAAACATGTTTAGAGCAGTTGCCGACATTTTAACACATTTTTTACTCAATGATAGGACTGTTAGGGTGTCCATTGTCGTGGCATCCACATGGCTGGCAGGGCTTCCGCCCTCTTCGATCCGTGCCTTCCGCTTCCATGTCGCGAGCGTGGGGCCTTCACGTTAGCAGGCCTCGGGCGCACCGCCACTCCGCGGAGAGTTGCGTCGACGCGAGGCCACCTCAGGACAAAGTGGGGTGCGGGTGTCGGACCCCGACTTGCACTGGTTGCGTCATGATCGATCATCTCGCTGTTCTTTCTGTGATATTCATTTGCTTTCAGACTATCTTTTTCCGCCGCTCTTCCCGCCGCGATCCTCTGTTGCGCATCTGGGGTGAGCGCCTTGCGAACCAGGAGGAGGGACTACGGTCCTGCCCCATTTCTCAGTGGCCGTTTGCGCGCAGCGCGACGGACTCCTTCAGTCTACGTGCCTCTTGCTCCTGGTCTTGGGTCCTCGGGGGATCTTAATCTTGGGGTCGGGTCCTTGGGGTGGGAGCTTGGGGCGGGGGGTCACGGGGGGGGTGGCGCCAGGGCCCAGAGCGGTGGTGGTAAGCGCATTGCGGTCCCAGCCCAGTCATGATCTGTGTGGCGATCACGGCCGCACGTGCGTGGGGCATGCGTGCATGCGCGACGTCCCCAACGATATCCCGCACTGGGTAACCACGGTGTCGAGCTTGGCGTGCAGCGCCGTGGTTGTCCAAATGACGACGCGTGCTGCGTGCTCCGTACATCTTTCCAGACGTGCACGTTTAAGCATTTTTTTTAACGGATGTTGGCCTCGGGTTGCGGATGCCGTGGTCGGCAGGTCTGACGGGTTCGGGCCTCGGCCAGACGTTGGCTTCGAGGACTTGCTGATTTGGCCAGGAATTGACCTCGAGATTGGGTGCGCTGCGTCCTCTGCCTCCCCTCCCACCTCCCTCCGCTCCATTCCGCCCGCCGTCGCGAGAGCGCCCGCCGGTGTGTGGATCGCGTGGTGCTGCCTCGCGGTCGCGAGTCGATGGAGCGGAGAGCGCTCTTGAAGCGCGCGCTCGAGCTGCAGCTGCCGCTCCCAGTTCAGCCACGTCCCCTTCGCGCAACTGGCGCGTTGTCGGCGCGCCGCTGGCAGATTGCGGGCATCCTCCTTCCGCCCTCCTCTTCCTCCTCGTCCTGCTCCTCGAGCCCCGGGTACGGGGGGGGGTCCTGGGTCAGATCACTGCCCTCCCCCCCCGGGGTGCCGTCGGCCCTCCCTCCCCTACTCTGGCCCCCCCTGTGGACAGGAAGGACAGGGGGGCGGGGGGGGCTGGGGGTCCCGACGGAAATCCCGTCTGTGGTGGGGAGAAGGTGGTCCCGGGTCAGAATGCCGCCCCGCCCTGGCTCCCGGCACCCCTCCAGTGCCTTCTGAACTCTTCCAGCCCCCGAGAGCCTGCCCGCGCCGCCGCTCGCTCCGGCAGGTCGGCCCGCGATCCTCTGGTGGGGGGGGCGACGGCGTTGCTGGAGGTTCGGGGCGGGGGTTTCCCCGCTCCTCCTCTATCGTGTCGCTCTGAGGCCGCCCCACAGCGTCGTACATTTCGTTTTCTTCTGCCTCCTCTTTCTCTTCTTCCTCTGATTATTCGGCTTCTCCTGATTCCTCTTCGCTCTCCTCCTCCTCTTCTTCTTCTTCTTCTTCTTTTTCCTCTTCCTCATGCTCCTCCTTCTCCCCCTGCGAGGCGTCAGAGCAGAGTCTTGGGAGTGTTGTTCTCCTTCCTTCTTCCCCTCCTCCCCGCCTCCGTCTCCTCGTCCGCCTCGCTCTTCACCTTCCCGCCTTTCATCTGAGCCTGAAGGGACACACACCTTCAAGTCCTTCTGTACCCCGTCTCCCCCCCTCGTCCTCCTCCTCCTCCTCCTTCTCCTCCCCCTCCTCGCCCTCCTCCTCCTCTCCCTCCTCGTCGTCCTCCTCCTCCTCCAACTCCTCTCCCTCGTTCTCCTCCTCCTGCTCCTCCTTCTCCTCCTCCTCTGCTCCCTCCACTCCATGATAGATAACCCCTCCGTGCCACACCCCGAGACGGGTCGGCAGGGCGGCCCTGGCGTTTCGCTTGAGATTTCCCACACTATTTATGATCCTTTAGCTTACACTCACAGCAAGTACTGGAGGGGGGTCCTTTTCAAAACGTGGCTCTCGCCTTGGCGCCGCGCAAATTCATCTTCAGCAGTTTCAAGGGTTCTCATGGCTGAAGTCAACGAGTTGGTGTTTTACATGATGTGTGATTGTCAGGGTGTGACATTTTTTTTGATTCGCGGCGTTGAAGTCCCAGGCTTGGTGTTCTGGCACGATTCAGGATCGTCCAGACGCAACAGTAACTATGGTCAGTGGCGTTGAAATCCCAAGAGCCATAATGCTCAGACGGTTGTCTTCCAACGGGGCATTTCAGTCACTGAAAATGAATTATTGTATGGACCTTTGGGAGAGGAAACTTGGGGGGAGATTGTTGATTGCAACATCGTTGATGAGTCTTGGGGTTGCACTGGTTCTCTTCCTCCTCCTTCTCCTCGTTCTCTTCCTCCTCGTCCTCCTTCTCCTCCTTCTCCTGAACGTCCTCGCCCTCCTCCTTCTCCTCCTCCTCCTCCACCCCCTCCCCCTGCTCGCCACGTGCAGAGATGGAAACGCCGCCCCACCCGCGCCCCCTCAGGAGCTGGCGCTGGCGGCGCTGGAGGGGCGGCGGAGGGCGAGCCGGACGCGAACGCCAGGATCGCCGCTTGGGGCATTAGGCCTGGTGGCATCGTCGTATGCGGAGGAGGGAGTGAAGGAGGAGGAGGAGGAGGAGGACGAGGGAGGAGGGTGGGGTGTGAGGAGGAAGAACAGGCGTGGAGGAGGGGTGGAGGAGGGGTGAGGGAGGCGGGGGGAGGGAGGAGGAAGACGAGGGGTGAAGGAGGGGGGATGGGGGAGGGAGGAGGCGGGCGGAGGAGAGATTTTTACTTATCGACGGTGCCTACTCGCACGGCGAAGCTAAGGCGTTCATGCTGCCCACGGTTTGTACTGCCAGATGTATCCCAGACGCAGGTTAAGGTCTTCACGCCGATGACATCTCATTACGCTCATGGAACAGCGACCCAGGTGTATGTGTGGCTCATCTCAAAGCGCTGGCAACCACGCTTGCGTACCACATCTCCTTCAAACTCAGGGTCCCGATCGCCGAGAGAAAGATGTACGCGGCCGCCATCTCCAGCCGGCTCCCAGAGGTCATCAAGCAGGCCTTGGGGAATTTGGGAGGGACCTCATCCTGGGCTCCTCGCCACCTAGTGATCACGTTCACGGCTGGGAGGCACCACCTCACTCCCATGGCCAGCCAGGGCCATTCGCCTAAAAAGAGTCAAAAAGTTCAGTAGGTCCGGAATGAATGTCAAAGCGAGACTGCTCAAGAGTTGCGGTTTTTCCATTATCTCGTGCGGGATGGAGGTCCAGGGGTTCACGCCATCGGAGATCTTACATGTCCAGATTGCTGCGGCAAGGTCCTCAAGGATTCCAGAGAAGGGCTCCTATCTAGACCTCATGTGGGGCATCAACAAGAAGGGGGCCTGCTGCATCTAGCCTCAGGAGCTCTCAAAAGGTATGCGTGGGAATGGTGGCATGCGAGTGAGCCGTCCAAGTACGGACGACCCCGCCATCAAGACGCCTTGACGCTAGGGCAGTTCAGCACGAGTTATAATAGGCAGTTTCCAACCTCCAGGAGACTCCGCGGACGCCATGGTTGCATCGGACCCGCGACCCCGTGTTGGTCATATTGATGTGGCTGGAAGCCGGTTGATCGTCGTGGGAAGTGCCCGCTGTTTTCGTTAGTAGGTTTGGCTTCAAATTGAACCTCACGGTCGAGGCCCCCAGCTCGAGTGGTTGATGTGTTCACCTGGGACTTCCGTGATACTTACGCAGGCCGAAAGATTTCTTCTTGAGCCCCACATGTCGGAAGCGACGCGCCGATTCCCTCTGTTCTCCTCCCACCTCCTCTTGCCTCTTCCCTCATCCTTCCCCTCTTCACCCTGGGAAGACCCCCTCCCCCGTATAATCATAGCATTGGTCTGCAGATCCACAGCTCCGTGGATAGCATGATGCTTCACCTGCGGTGCTCCGCGGATCCTATGTCCCCTGGGTCCCGGATGATAATTCTTATTATATTTTTATCCCCGGGAAAAATGGATCCATAGTTTTTTCACACACAGGAAATTGGATCCGCGCAACACAGCAATAGGATCCACGACACTCTCCCATTCCCGAAAAGGGATCCAATTATATCCATTGATGTTGTCGTATTTTAGTCCAAGAGGAACGAACTTTCGGCCTGGGGATGCAGGATTTAGTACAAAGTGTTGGCGGGGGAGACGAAGGATTTAGCACAAAGTGTTGGCGGGGAAGACGCATGTCGAACTCACACGGAAGGGTTTAGCACAAAGTGTTGGCGGGGGAGACGCAGTTCGAAATCCCACTGAAGGGTTTCGCACAACGTGTTGGCGGGGGAGACGCAGTCCGAAGTCCCACTGAAGGGTTTAGCACAAAGTGCTGGCAAGGGAGACGCAGTTCGAAATCCCAAAGTGTTGGCAGGGAGACGAAGGATTTAGCACAAAGTGTTGGCGGGGAGTCGCAGGTCGAACTCCCACTGGAGGGCTTCGCACAAAGTGTTTGCGGGGGAGACGCAGTCCGAAATCCCACTGAAGGGTTTCGCACAACGTGTTGGCGGGGGAGACGCAATCCGAAATCCCATTGAAGGGTTTAGCACAACGTGTTGGCGGGGGAAACGCAGTTCGAAATCCCATGCAGGATTTGGTACAAAGTGTTGGCGGGGAGGGCGAAGGACTTAACACAAAGTGTTGGCGGGGGAGTCGCAGGTCGAAGTCCGACTGAGGGGTTCAGCACAAAGTGTTGGCGGGGGAGACGCAGTTCGAAATCCCACTGAAGGGTTTAGCACAACGTGTTGGCGGGGGAGACGCAATCCGAAATCCCACTGAAGGATTTCGCACGACGTGTTGGCGGGGCAGACGCATTTCGAAATCCCACTTACGCAGGCCGAGAGATTTTCCTCTTGAGCCCCACATGTCGGAAGCGACGCGCCGATTCCATCTGTTCTCCTCCCACCTCCTCTTGCCTCTTCCCTCATCCTTCCCCTCTTCATCCTGGAAAGACCCCCTCCCCCATATAATCATAGCATTGGTCTGCAGATCCACAGCTCCGTGGATAGCATGATGCTTCACCTGCGGTGCTCCGCGGATCCTATGTCTCCAGGGTCCCATAATATAATTATTAGTATATATTTATCCCCGGGAAAAATGTATCCATAGTTTTTTTTTACACACAGGAAATTGGATCCGCGCAACATAGCAATAGGATCCACGACACTCCCCCCACACCCGAAAAAAAAATCCAATTGTATCCATTGGTGTTGTCATATTTTAGTCCAAGAAGAAATAACTTTCGGCTTGGGGATGCAGGGTTTAGTACAACATGTTGGCGGGGGAAACGAAGGATTTAGCACACAGTGTTGGCGGGGGAGACGCATGTCGAACTCACACTGAAAGGTTTGGCGCAACGTGTTGGCGGTAGAGACGCAGTTCGAAATCTTACTGAAGGATTTCGCACAACGTGTTGGCGGAGGAGACGCAGTCCGAAATCCCACTGAAGGGTTTCGCACAAATTGCTGGCGGGGGAGACGCAGTTCGAAATCCCACTGAAAGGGTTTAGCACAAATTGTTGGCGGGGGAGACGCAGTCCGAAATCCCACTGAAGGGTTTAGCACAACGTGTTGGCGGGGCAGACGCAGTTCGAAATCCCACTTACGCAGGCCGAAAGATTTTCCTCTTGAGCCCCACATGTCGGAAGCGACGCGCCGATTCCTTCTGTTCTCTTCCCACTTCCTCTTGCCTCTTCCCTCATCCTTCCCCACTTCATCCTGGAAAGACCCCCTCCCCCGTATAATTATAGCATTGGTCTGCAGATCCACGGTTCCGTGGATAGCATGGTGCTTCACCTGCGGTGCTCCGCGGATCCTATGTCCCCTGGGTCCCGGATGTTTACTATTATCATATATATATATATATATATATTCCAGGGAAAATGGATCCATCGTTTTTCCACACACACACAGGAAATTTGATCCGCGCAACACAGCAATAGGATCCACGAAACTCCCCCACACCCGAAAAAGGGATCCAAATTGATCCACTGATGTTGTCACTTTTTAGTCCAAGAGGAAGAATTTTCGGCCTGTGGATGCACTTTAAATTTTTGGCCAAGCACTTTTCCATTTCCCTTGGGGATCGTGAGATCGTCGACGGTGGGTTGCGGCTACGTGTCATTGATAGAGTGGCGAACGCCATGGACGGGGAAAAGGTTCAGTTCCGTTGCCAGAAAATGTCAGTGTCTGTTCTGACAGGGGCCTCCCACAAGAAGAGGGGTCACGGTGCCGAGGACCGCTGCCCACAGTGCTGGCTATGTGGCACCATATGGCACAGTTGTTGGCGCTGCTTTAAATCCGATGCCATGCGTGTGCGAAGCGGGCATTTTAGCGAGGAGGATGCCCACTAGGCCATCGCTTCTGGGCCTGACTCGTCTCTCTTTGGCAAGTTGCGTGCCCCCGGTCCCGAGGTCCCAGAGCCTGCTCCTGAATGGGATTCGAAGTTCTTCGACGGGCCCGGGGCCTCGTGTGCAAGTTTGAGGTTTCGGCCAGAGGATCTGGTGTTCACGGGTGCATCGCGCTGACATGGGGACCGCCCCGAGATCGCTGGAGTTCGGGTCTCTTTTGTGCGTATGCAAGAAGGAGCGGTCCGAGGCGTGAACTCTTCGCTGACCATGGAATTTGTGCAGCAGGCGGCTGATGCTGAACATGCAGCGCTAGCTGTTGCAGTGCTTCGGCGAGCTGCCGATCGGCCTGAGGTCCAGCCAACAGCAGTCTTCGCTGATTGTGCTGCCCTCTTCCAGGGGTCTCCGTCTGAGGTTTGGGGGCCCAGCTTCGCGATTTTAATTCGCAGGGGCTGGCTGATTTCGGTCGCGCCGATGAATTTCGGGCCCAGTCCTTTGGGTTCGTGCTGGTTCTTCAAGTGTGGCCTACCTTTGAGGCCGTACTCAAGAAAGTCATTCGGCCTCTCAGGGCCAAAGTGCCCAAGAGTCCCGTCTCTCAGCATCTCCCTGTTCCGCATGGGTCCGGCTTTCATGGCGAGGAATGTGTTCTGAACGTCGCGTCTGCCATTGTGTCGGAGTTCTCAGATCCCAGCCTCGTGCTTTGTTCGCTCCTGTGCGTGGGTGTGCGGGGGTTCGGCGCAACTTGCATTGTGCAGGAGTTGTCGAGACTGATGCCGTGGGCAGCGCCAGCGGGGGCTTTGGCAGCTGCTGCCCATGAGCAGCAGCCGCAGCAGGGTAATCTGCCTCCAGCACCTCCGCCGCGCGCGTTCGCACCACGGCCTCCTTAGGATGCAGGGGGTGCCCGCTTCGTGCCGCTGGGTAGCAGCCAGGCGCTCAGCGTGCGCGCGCCACAGTCGGAGGAGAATCTGGCTTCGAGACCCGCAGCTTTGCGAGTCACTACTGCCCGGGTGGCTGAACTGTCTGCAAGTGTGCCAGCGGGTACGCCTCCCGCGCCATGTCAGCACGGACGCGTGTCAGCATATCACGGTCCCGAGATGGGAGAATCGGAACGTCGGTTTCGTGAAGGAATGGCGACCACCAAGAAGTCGACGCGACGCCACCAGCGGCGCCCTCTCCGGGGCAC